GTCCCCACTTTCTTCACATTCAGATGAAGTCGATCTGATTTTTAGTGTAGTGTGTCCATCTGGTGAAGTGCATGTCGCTGCCTTGTGATTATCCTTGTGTTTGTGCACACTGCCTCCATTCACGAAGTCGTTGAATGCGCAGAAGTCTGCAAACAGTTCTCCATTCTCATTCATCAGTTCACCGTGTGCTTCTCGACCCATAATCAGTTCTCTTCCTGTCTTGTCCGCTCCCAGTTCGGCATTCATGTCAACCCACACATTAGAATGAATTTTGATGTCGCCATCTAGGGTGGCATCTTGTCCAGTACTGATTGCAGTTGTCTGTAGAATCCCTCCTTCTTCTCTTCATCTGCATTATTCATAGTTGCATAGCGTAGCATTGTGTGATTGTGACTTTCCTTCCTTTTGATTTGAATCTTGCTGTCGTGATCATGATCGTAGAGGAGGAGATTGGTTCCCACTGCATCAGAGAGAGCCTTTGTTGCTGTTGAGGACATCATGATAGCCACTGCAAAACTCAGTGTGCTCGTGGTTGTCGTCTGGGTGACAATATTGAAGTAGATTATTGATTCTCCAGTTGACTGTTTGGAGAGTCCACTTCCATTCCATCTGGTTTCGCAAATTCCTAGCACTTCAATTCCATACCTTCTCATCTGTTTGGCAATCTGTGCAGCCTTGTTAGGTTCTTACATGGTGCGGACATTCCATGTCCCTATGCTTACTTTTGCTTTCATCTAGAGAAGCGAAGACACATCGACCAATTGGCTTCGCGAAGGCTTTCACCAACTGGCGTTATTTAGTCTCTGTGATTCCAGCGAGGAATAAGTTTATTTCTATTTTTCATATTTTCTTTATGCATTGTAGTTTCTTTTAGCAGTTGGATTGGTTTTCTGGGGTAGGACTGCTAGCCACATGCCCAACTTGCCCTCTTTATCCGGTCTTAGGACCAGCCGGTAACTAGTGAACTAGTTAACCAGGCGACGTTCAAAAAATTGTGTAATGTTTGAAATAGTTATGGGGAGAAATTCTAAGTATTATATTGCTTTCGTGAGATTTGTGTGAACTCTATAGATGGTCCTAAAGCTGTTTTCTGCTCTTACGCGGTGGTCATAATCGGTCAAATATTCGTGAATAGAGCCGTGAACTGTTCTCCTTTACCCATTGTAGAACCATGTCTACCTTCAAGAACCTCTTCATTCAGATCCTCTCACACATTAAATACCTCCACCACTATAATTCTGATTTCTTTTTGCAGTCACCATGTTACATCATTTAACTTAGTGATCAAATATCGGTCCGATCTCGGTAAGTCGTCTTCTCATTACCATCTTAATTAATACGTAATTCCTCTTGTAACCTGATTTTTAATCATATCTGAACTCCGTTCCAAAATATTTCATGAGAATTTCTCCCCATAACTATTTCAAACATTACGTAACTTTTCTATTGTAATCTAATTTTTAATCATACCTGAACTCTGTTCAAAAATATTTCATGAAACATTTTTTGTTACAATCTGAATTTTATATATATATATATATATATATATATATATATTCCGGTTGGGCAATTCAATCGATGAGGTTTTGAACCTTCAGGGACTAAGGTAGGACATGTACTGAACATGCCAAGTCACTGTCTATGTCGACATGCAATGCTGGAAGTTCGATTGGGTTGGAATAGGGCTTGGGGTGACCAGGTCAAGACGTAACTCCAGTCAATGAAGTCCCTGACTGTCGACCACAACCATTCAGGAAGTTGTGAATCACCTGGTTGAAGTCCTCGAGACGATAGGTATCATTGGTTGAAGCGGACTTTTGTTGACATTGCGTCGGCGACAATGGCGTAGACGTATTTACTTCTAAGGTTAGAATATTTTCAATTAACCTTCGTTTTCAAATTTCTTCTACCTCACTTCTTCTAACCCGTTCTTGCTTGAATGCTGCTGAAGTGTGACAACTTGAACCGATCCAATTCTGTTCGTTTCTACGCTGCTACTATCCGTCTGCCTGAGGCTTTTTCTCGTCAAAGTGTTTGTAATAAGAGACATAATCTATTCAAATTGCAAAGCGATGACTAAACCGTCTAGCAACTCATCATTCATCCTATGGGTCAGAGACTCTGATGACACCCCGAGAACCACCAAGATTTACGTAATCCAGATGGCACTTAGTACCTGTATACAACAAGTGTAAGAAAATCGCAGGAATAATTACTCAAAGGAAATAAAACCACCTGGTTGCTGTTGAAAAATGCTAAACGGTGTAACGAAAACTACTGGGAGTATGATTTGCAATCGTGCCTTTGAGGAATTCTCAGACATCAGCATTAATCCTAACCAGCCTTTAAATGTCAAATAATGTCTGAAAATTACAGGGATTCCGTTCCATTTGTGAGAATATTGGGAAAACTACACATGTTTCTGAGTATTACCGTCTGGTTTCATGCTTCGCAAGTGCTTCAGTAGCATTCTTTAGGTTGAAGATATACTTGGAAATCAAGAGGACCGTTCCTTCATCTGTTGTAGTTCAACAGGAAAAAAGTGTGTACTAGACTATGAGCCAGTCATACGGCATTCGATTGGTACACGACAGATAACATGTCATGAAGTATAATCCACATCGATGTAGCGTCAATTCAATAAAGTTACTAAGTCCTTCAGTAATATACTTACCTTGTTCTAAATCGTAGTTTCATTTACAGATCAGAATCCTTAGCATATGATACAGTAAACTTCACTCCTTCTGCAATATTTTCAAATATATTAAACCATAAGCATAGCAAAAGGCAGGAATTAAGGAAAAGCGAATGTGGGTGCTGAGCCAGTTTTGCCTACCTCACTACATACAAAAGATAAATTCTCCTCGAAATCAGTGGAATGAGGAAGGACGAAGATAGATTACAAGAAAAGTATAAATCTAGATGGGTCACACCTTATAGGTTTAAAAATATATGTTTTTACTAATGATTCGAATACTGACCTTTTAGTAGATGTCGAATAAGTGTCCGACTGATTCGGCTCTGAAAACCAACAACGGATAATTTCAAATGCTAATTATTGCTACACCCAATGGACAATAATTGGCTACTGCAACTTATTAGTTTAGTGGATAGTAGTAGTACTCTGATATCTAATCGGATAGTTGTCGTCTTCGAGTCTCAGGAAAAGCATCGACACTTACTGCGGTGCACAGAGAGAGGGTCTGAAAAAGAAGATATACACCCTAGAGTCCATTGTTACCTGCTGTGTATACAGGAATACACAGCAAATAGATCTGAAAACAGTAAACAACAGGAAAATTTACTCACTTCAGTTGTAGTGCTCATTAGTAAGCCCACACAACGACTTCGCAATTCACTAAAACCAGCTGTACTCAGAAATTCAATACACATACGTGCAACACATTTAACAGGTCGACATTCGACTGGGCATTCGACTAATTAGCATCAGTGACAAACAAGGGAAGAAAGTATATCGGATAAATGTATGTAGATTTTTAAACCAAACAAAAAAAGATTTAATATGTTCCATAATGCAAGTAACATAAAATAGTATTCATGAAGCTCTTATAGTTATCATGAGCTGCAAAACATTTGTTAACAAGTCCAACTGCAATTACCAATTCACCAATCCAACCTTCCTTCTTTATCCGGTCTTAAGACCAGCCAGTAACTGGTGAACTGGTTACCTATGTGACATTATCATCATAAGTCAGAAAAAATATTTGAACAGCTTTGGAGTTCTATGATAATGACTGTAGGACTGTGGGTGAATGGTGTACCAACCGGTCTGTGGTATCTGTTCAACTCAAAAAGATACCTATACGGACAAAATCAAGTTAGAACCTCGCATATATGTGCATTAGTCAATACTGGCCACACTTCACGAAAGCATGCAAACAATAATTTGGTAGAAAAAGACTGATGTCAAAGTAGGCAGAGGTGCACAGGAGGAGAAGGAATTCGAAAATCGAAGGTAGTGAAATGTTCGGATTTTAGAAGAGTGAAGACTTTCCAGAAGTTGTGACCAATTTTTTAGCTATACTCCCCAACATTTGATTCTTACTTTTTCAACGACCGTAACCGAGAACACACCTCCCTATATGACTCAAAATAACGGTCATAGACTTTGTCGACTGGTGTTGCGTTTTGATCTGACCACTCTAAGCCTTCGTTTAACCCAGTGTCACTTGAGGATTAAATCAGACCCACACGTTTACACGAATAGGACCAAGAATACTAGAATCTACGCTGTGTTAATCTAATTATAAAATTTTACTGAACTGGGTATATTTCGAACTAACTTCTCGCAATATGCCATTTTACTTTACCCACCTTACGTGTTATTCCCGTACAACCGTTGTTTCCCCCCTAGTATTATAGGATGGAATAGAAAAGCTGACTTATAAATGTCATCTCAAATCATGCCAACTTCATAACTGATGAATAGCTGAAAACTCGTTTCAAGAGGAACAGCAACAGCTGAGGAGTCACATACTAGGACGAAACAGCTGACCAGTTCTCCCAGGTTTACATTGTTTTTCTAACTGGTATTAGTCTATGGTGAATATCAACCTGAAACCCAAAAATAACCTCCCACAAACCTCCAGATATTGTTCTGTTAGTCTGCAAAATTATTAGTATCCGCTTGGCTTCCGACTGGTTGATCCCACAGGTCACGGTTTCTCATTTTTAATGGTTCTGTAATTGATGTCAGCCCGTGATGAATGCCACCTGAAAACTAATTTGTTGTCAAATCGATGAAGTACCAATATACATTGATCGGTGCTTATTTTTATCATGAAAAAAGTATTACCACTCCACGAAAAGCACTGGATTACAATCACCTGAACAACACAAGCTAGTTTTCAAAACGCCGCATTCCAATATAAATATTCACTACACACAAGATTAGATAGATAAATTTTGAGAAGTCAATCAGGCACATAAGGATGATATAAACTATAGGCAGTGAAACAAGTCCAATCTATAGCATTTTTAAAGAAAACAGTTTTCCTATGTCTATCGAGACGCAGACAAATACGCGCTCGAACCAACACGTGCTCCAGGCGGCGCGGTAATCTTCCACTGATCATTTCCAGCGATAATTGATGACAATGTGGCCTATTTGTGTTCATTGATGAGTTGAGCTCGGTGGACGACACATCAGACAATAACTATTTCCGAAGTTTGTGCTGGCTAGAAATAAACGGTTGCCGCTGTTATCCTTTTGTTCGGTTGGGTTTCCGAAAGCGCCACCTAAGTGCCTTTCTACCTGACAACCTACCTGCTTATGTATTAGAAACACCTGTAAAAACAACCACCTCTGAACATTTAGCTTTTAATAGGAGACTAAACCATTTTCGGTAGAACTCATTCTTGACTTCATCCAAACTGCAGTCAATGGGTGTGCAAGCAGAGATCCTAAAGAGACATCGGCGAGTTTCACCACTCATTTTAGTCTTCACTGTACCATCCAGTTGGACAGCGCACAGGCGAACGTCAACTGGAATCCATTTGCCCAGTACAATTTTTCTACCTTAGTGCTTAGTAGTATACCTACACCTGCAAGACTGCGAGAACTAGCCGTCAAATATCTAGAAACTCCAAGCGTGAATTTTTCAGATCCACCATATTGACCGGATGAGGTTGGGTGAACAACCGCATTTAGGTCATGTATGCGTGTCTCATAAACGAACCACAGATCCATGGTCCGAGTTGCTAGAGGCTTGACTATTAACGCATATTGGCCGACTTGTTGCAGGAACCGGACATTGGAAGCTGCAATGTATAGTTTCGAGGGAAGTTTCAGAAGATCACAGGTGCTATTCTGTGGACTCAGATCGTTGTCGAAAGTAGCAGAGCTGGTATGAATCAAAGATGATGTAGGATACTTGACTGAATGATAAGAAGGAAGATTAGAAGATGAAAATGTGGAAGATGGATAGTGATCGTAGGTCACTTGAGTGCTGACAAAGTTCTTAGGGCGGTTGACACTCTCCGGTTACCGATACTATGTGGAAGGCTAGGTCAAATTGAATCATCTGAAAAAGAAAAGTTAGTGCGTGACTACAAAACCCAAGAGATATCTGCTTGGGGATGATCACACAATGCCTTCTGAACGTTTAAGATTTTTGTTTCCTGTTTTCGGATCCGACTATGAATCCCTGGCGCAGGTATCGGTATCCTGAAGGGTAAAGGGGACGCGGTATTTTTGGGACCAACCCTTTCCAACCCCACCCCATTCACATAGGGAAGGCAGCACAAGCATGGCACTGCTGGTTATCCAAGGGAAATACCTTACTGCTGTCACATCTCCGTTCTGTCACCAGTACAACTTCGCCCTCAGACAACCATCACAGCGTAGCAATTTACGCTATATTGGTAACGGCTTTCTGTCGTACCACTATCCAGCTAACGTTTATGGAATGATAGGACATTGAGGGAAGAAGCGTTCCACCAACATAGCTCGTTGGGTCACTGTGATAAACAAGCCCGACCACCTTGAGGTGGATCAAGGTAGCAGCCATCGGTTAAGATCCTAATACAAACTATCCAGTCAACTGTACTACAACAAAACAAAAGATGTGCAATTCATTTTTTCCACGACAAAATCGCGCAGTTGCATGCTTTTCGAATAAGTGATGAAACGATAAAATCGGAATGAATAAGGAAACAATAAATGTGCTTTTTGTAATATTATGAAACAAGATATTCAACCTTAAACTCACATGAATAAGTTGGGAGGGGTTAGATGTTTAAATGTAAGCTTTGATTTAGGCTTTAGAATAGAACTGTCACCTGTGGTAGACTGACATTGTTTTTCGCTTTGTTGCCCCAGCGTTTTACGCAATAAAACAGCCTTATCTCCAGTAACTGTTGGAAGTGGTGGTTGCCGCAGTAGACGACGCAAATCTTTCGTTGGCAAAGACCCAGCACACAGCTGTCCAGTTAACGATGTCATGGTGAATTCCACATCATATTTAGCTAGCCATAAACAACGTAGATCACTGGCCAACACCATACAGGGTATAATAATGGTTTCAATTTGCTCAAAATATTTTAGAAATGAAAACTCAAAGAATTATATCACGCAAATCTATGTTACATTATTATATTGAACAAAATTTCCAACTACTAAACCAAAAGATCAATATGATACGACTAGAGAAAACTAATAATTCATTTGTGAAGCTGAGACTGGTTGATTTAAGTACTCCATTTTTAACTATTGTATAAAAGTTTGAAATTCATGGGCATCTATCAACGTTTTAGGGGTCAGAAAGGGATCACAGCCTTCATAGAAGATGAATAGTCCATTACAGAGTATCCAAGGTCGAATATCAAAAAGTGTTTATAATTATTACTGCAATTCCCAAAAGGCTAAACAAAGCTTTTTTAGAATTTGTCCTAGTGCGAACTTGACAGACGCAAAGACCAATCACTAATTATTTGAACTTGTTATATACCCACGAATACCAGACCAAGGAAGAACACGATAGCGTAGTCGGATGGAATAGTATATTTGTATGGTTATGCCAAAATACCGATGCGTTCCAACTAACTGGCTAGAGAGTCGAATACGAGCAATGCAACGTAACACGACAGCGTGCCAAATGGCGAGGATGCTTGACCGGGTGCCTTCAGCTTAGCGAGTCCAGTTAAACTATCAAGGTCAGCATCAATGTCGAAAGTCGTCAAACCCTAGGCTATTGATTTTGGGGAAGTGTGTGACGCTACACTCTCAGTTCCCGAAATACTCTAGTCTATCATAAATAATATAACTATATTCTTCCTTTATCCTGTCTTTATTTGATCTGGAAAAACCATAAATATTACAGAAGGCATGACACAATTCATTAGTCTCAACAACCGGCACGAGAGACATGAAAACGCAATTCCAATGAATTGTAACGTGGACAAAAGTTGGTCACTCATTCTGAACGGAGTTCAGATATGACTAAAATCAGATTACACCGGAAAAATTACGTTTTATTTTTATGTTTGTCTCTTGGGTTCCTAATGGGAAACCAAGCCTCAGTAGCAGGCCTCCATTGCACGGTTTTCTGCAGTCTTTTGAACCTGGCTCCACCACTCCCCACAACCTTTCATTTCTTCCTCACATGATCTCCTCCATGTCACCCTCAGCTGGGACGCCCAACTCCTCGTTTCCCATTTGAATTCCACTCGACGGCCTGGCCTGGTGCGTGATGTCCCCAATCAGCCTTCTCAGTGTATGCCCAATCCATCTGCACTTTCCTCTACCGCATATTTGCTGGGTGATACGTTCTTGGTTGGTTCGTTCGCAGACAGCCGGAGTTCCTTGTTGCTTATTCTTACTATTCTGGACATCTGATCTTCAGTGTCAGTATCGAGTGAGGATAGGCGGCAGTTGTTGACGAATGTCTGTAGTTTATTGGATATGCTTTTCGTAACGTGCCAAGTTTCTGAACCATGTAGAAGCACTGACTTACTTGACATTAGTCTTGAAAATACGGATCTTGTTTACGCTTTATGCTGAGTGGAGTACAGTAGGTCTCCACACTGATTTCAGATCAGTGAAGGTCTGTCTTGCTGTCTTTCCGATCCTGGCTTTGACATCTTCACCTGTGCCGCCACCCCTAGTTGAGACGATGATGCTTTGGCTAGACAGGTGAAAGAGACTACTCCCTCTAGGTGTCTCCCGTTGATGGTGATTGATCCTTGTTGTTGGTGGTGGCGGTGGTGGTGGTTAGGTATCCTCATCGCTTCTGTCTTCTCTACATTCACTTGAAGTCCCGTCTTCGCTGCCTCGCCTCTTCTGTCAGCTTGTTGGTTTTCGCTTGTAGATATTCGAGTTTGTGAGACAAGACATTAGACATAGATGATCATTGGCGAAATCCAAATCTCCTGCTAGGGTCTTTTCATCGGTCCAGCCGGGGCATGACCATCTTCTCGCTTGTCACAATTTGTTGCATGATCTGGTCCAGTCGACCACAATCAGGAAGATCATCGGTGATGATAGTAGGCGGCACCCATGTCCTACTCCTGTCCCCTATCCTCACTTCAAAGCCATCACTGAGCTTTCCATTGTGAATCACTTGGAATGTGGCATCATATAGCGTGTAGCTGCTGTTGAATGAGGTTGATAAAGGTTTGTGGCACTAAAACCGTAGTGTTGAAGCAGCTGCCTGCCAAATTACTTGTCGGTCGACGCTGTCGAAGGCCTTTTCAAAGTCGATGAAGTTGAGGTTGAGTTGAGTTGACTGCCATTCTATACTCCGTTCCATCATGATGCGCTGCAATTTGTTCCGCACACGATGTTCTTCCTGAAGCCAACCAGCCGGCCTGTTCCGGTCGTAATTTTGAATCCATTGCATTGTTTAGTCTCTCCAGGATGATGTGGCCTAATATTTTTTCCTTGGAGTGGACAGGAGTGGGGCATGATTCCGTGCCAGTTCTTGCAAACACTTAGGTCTCCATTCTTTGGGAGTTTGACAAGGTAGTCCTTCTTCCAATCAGTTGGCAGGTACCGTTCCTTCCTTCCTTCCTTCCCTCCTTCCAAACCTTCTCCAGTAGTGGTGTGAGGAGCATGTCCGCTGTTGTCTCTGCGTCTGTTTTCACTTCTTCTGGTGGAATTCCATCTGGTCCGGCTGCTTTCTCGGATTTCAGCGACTTTATGGCGTTCAGGACTTTACTTCTGCTTTTGTCGGAGGGCTTGTGTTCACTGGTAATTCTGTGACTGGGCTGCAGATGGGTATTTCTGGACGAGTTGCAGGTGGTGGCAGTGTTTTCAGGTCTCTCCTACCTTCAGCCTATTTCTCTTCACTTGCCAATGCTTCGTGGAAGTGTCTTCAGTCTTTCCGCGCACTCTTCTTCTCTTCTTTGTCCAGTGTAGTGTTTTATAGGTTGAGTTCAGTTCCTCTTCTCGTTGTGCATCCTTGCACTGGTTCATCTTCTGCTTCACCATCTTCCTCCCCCTCTCCCTCCTCTATCACCTTCCATATGTCCGTCGAGATCCATCCCATCCTTTGTCTTGTTTCTTCTTCCTTCATAACACGGTTATTCAGGTTTCCTTCCACATAGCTTTCAAAGAGTTCCAGTGTTCTTCCACGCAGGTTTCTTCACGGATGTTGCTCAGCGTCCCCTATTTTGTCCTGATGACCGACATAAAGATGTCCTCTGAAGTCTCGTCGTTCAGTTCAGTCTCTGTTCTGGGTGTTGAACTTCAACTGTGGCTTACCACCAGCTTCTATGAAGGCTTTCAACTTGATTTGGAAGGTAGGCAGGTTCCTTGCACTAGATAGTGAGAGTGGTGTGAACCTACATCTGCTCCCCTTCTTGATCTGATCTTCGGTCCAGTAGGCTGCGTCCCCACTTTCTTCACATTCAGATGAAGTCGATCTGATTTTTAGTGTAGTGTGTCCATCTGGTGAAGTGCATGTCGCTGCCTTGTGATTATCCTTGTGTTTGTGCACACTGCCTCCATTCACGAAGTCGTTGAATGCGCAGAAGTCTGCAAACAGTTCTCCATTCTCATTCATCAGTTCACCGTGTGCTTCTCGACCCATAATCAGTTCTCTTCCTGTCTTGTCCGCTCCCAGTTCGGCATTCATGTCAACCCACACATTAGAATGAATTTTGATGTCGCCATCTAGGGTGGCATCTTGTCCAGTACTGATTGCAGTTGTCTGTAGAATCCCTCCTTCTTCTCTTCATCTGCATTATTCATAGTTGCATAGCGTAGCATTGTGTGATTGTGACTTTCCTTCCTTTTGATTTGAATCTTGCTGTCGTGATCATGATCGTAGAGGAGGAGATTGGTTCCCACTGCATCAGAGAGAGCCTTTGTTGCTGTTGAGGACATCATGATAGCCACTGCAAAACTCAGTGTGCTCGTGGTTGTCGTCTGGGTGACAATATTGAAGTAGATTATTGATTCTCCAGTTGACTGTTTGGAGAGTCCACTTCCATTCCATCTGGTTTCGCAAATTCCTAGCACTTCAATTCCATACCTTCTCATCTGTTTGGCAATCTGTGCAGCCTTGTTAGGTTCTTACATGGTGCGGACATTCCATGTCCCTATGCTTACTTTTGCTTTCATCTAGAGAAGCGAAGACACATCGACCAATTGGCTTCGCGAAGGCTTTCACCAACTGGCGTTATTTAGTCTCTGTGATTCCAGCGAGGAATAAGTTTATTTCTATTTTTCATATTTTCTTTATGCATTGTAGTTTCTTTTAGCAGTTGGATTGGTTTTCTGGGGTAGGACTGCTAGCCACATGCCCAACTTGCCCTCTTTATCCGGTCTTAGGACCAGCCGGTAACTAGTGAACTAGTTAACCAGGCGACGTTCAAAATATTGTGCAATGTTTGAAATAGTTATGGGGAGAAATTCTTTTCGTGAGATTTGTGTGAACTCTATAGACGGCCCTAAAGCTGTTTTCTGCTCTTACGCGGTGGTCATAATCGGTCAAATATTCGTGAATAGAGCCATGAACTGTTCTCCTTTACCCATTGTAGAACCATGTCTACCTTCAAGAACCTCTTCATTCAGATCCTCTCACACATTAAATACCTCCACCACTATAATTCTGATTTCTTTTTGCATTCACCATGTTACATCATTTAACTTAGTGATCAAATATCGGTCCGATCTCGGTAAGTCGTCTTCTCATTACCATCTTAATTATTACGTTATTCCTCTTGTAACCTGATTTTTAATCATATCTGAACTCCGTTCCAAAATATTTCATGAGAATTTCTCCCCATAACTATTTCAAACATTACGTAACTTTTCTATTGTAATCTAATTTTTAATCATACCTGAACTCTGTTCAAAAATATTTCATGAAACATTTTTTGTTACAATCTGAATTTTATATATATATATATGTATATATATATATATTCCGGTTAGGCAATTCAATCGATGAGGTTTTGAACCTTCAGGGACTAAGGTAGGACATGTACTGAACATGCCAAGTCACTGTCTATGTCGACATGCAATGCTGGAAGTTCGATTGGGTTGGAATAGGGCTTGGG